TCATATTATAAGGTAAGGTTATAAAACCACCTTTTAAGATCATTTTAGTGAAAGTTTCATGTTCCTATCTCATAGAATTTAAGAACAATGATGAATAAATAATTTTCGAGCAAAATTTAAATGGCCGGCTGAATATATTACCGCAGGAGCCGCGGAATTTAAATGACCACGTCAAAGGGTTAAGCAGTGCTTCGTTACTACATCATAGAGTTCCCAGAATATCTAAATGCTGAAGTTTATCATTTGTTTTCTGTCTTCGATGCAGTCTGTATCCATGTAATAACATAGAGCTGTCATTATGTTGAGGATGTGTGACAGGATAACTAATGATTCTCTATAGCTTTGTGATAATGTTTGACAGATTATAGACATGTGTTGCCTGTTGTCCTTTGCTTGAAGTAAATTTAATATACCTAACACTGTTGGAGTTGCCTCTGTACCTGCTGTCAGGTGATTGGTTGTCATAATAGATTTTTGTTGTTTTTGGTTAGACAGAAAGGTGACTAAACGTTAGATACAGAGAATGTGTAAGAGATGTAGAAAGCAATAGTGAAGAATTGGCATTGGCAACACATCCTAAAATATAGACACAATTGTGGTTAAGTGGAATCTACAATGGATGTAATTAAACACACAAATAGAGCTAGTAATGAATATCAAAGAAAATTTCTACATCTACATATAGACGGAGGTTCTTACTTTTCTTGGCCGGTTCACAGCGACTGATGCACCACTGGCTGGCTGCGAGGTGCATACAGATTTTGCCCGTGAATCAGTATGCCTGTGGCCAGTAACATTTGGAATGAAGCATACAATTCATACGTCACAGAAGTTGTTGAAAATGCTGTCCCCCTACATGTAGACATTCCTTGCTCCAGCTGAAGGGGTTCTGATTAACCCTTATAGCTGTTGTGCCAGAATTTTTGCTATTTCCCTATGATTTTTTTTTTTCAGTTCTTCCTCATGGGGTTTACTGTTTTAAATTTTGTCCTGCAAAGAACCACAGAAGAAAATATCTAAGAATTAAGGTTGGGTGAATGTGCCTGCCAAATACCAGTGCTGATATTTCTCTCCCCGAAAGTACCAGGCAAAGCTTGCATAGACATACGTGAAATGTGGGCAGTAGCTTAGTCTTGCTGAAACCAGCCATAGTCTTTTTTTCTTTTGTAACTCTCGAAGGAATTGTCTTAGAATGACCTGTACTTATTTTTTTTCTAGGTGGGGGGTGGGACTGAGTCCGCTTGGTACGGCAGACACATCTGGCCAATTGTACCAGCCCCAGATGATAGGTGAGGGTAGTTATGGAGCAATTGGTGGAATGAAGATTGGCAGGGGAAACCGAAGTACTTGGAGAAAACCTGCCCCAGCACCAATTGTCCACCACAAATCCCACTTGACCAGACCCAGCATCGAACCCAGGCCTCCGCGGTGAGAAGCCAGCTACTAACCGCTTGAGCTATGGCACGGCCTTTGAACTGTACATATCTTTCACGATTAATTGTTCCTTTAAAAAAAATGCAGGTAGAGCAATCCTTGTTGCCCTTACAGCAAACCAGACTCCAACTTTCACTTAATAGAGCCATACTTCATGGGTTAGGTGTGGATTTGGTGAAGTCCAGTAGCAATTATTTTTCATATTAATGTATTTCTGCAAGTGAACCCATACATCATCAGAAAAGAATGTCAGTTCCAGATGAATCTCATCTTCAGTGATCCACTGTAGAAACCAAACTGCAAATATGAGCCTGGCTAGCTGGATCGCACAGCTGCAAGGCATGCATTATTACTAGGGCCCGGATTTCTATGACTTAAAAACCGTAAATATATGCATGCACTTATGACCCAAAATTACGTCAAGTATGACATAAAAAGTGTAAAATATGACCTTAAATATTAAATGGGACATATAATTTCACAATTTAATTATAACTTTTACTAGAGTTTAAGAATAAAAATGATGAATTGTATTGTGACATGTTGCGCACACCAGCGGTACGTGACGGCATCAGAATGCTGTCATTACTATGGTAATAGGCAAGTCAACACCCCGCCTCTCTCCCGCGTCGTGACGTAACACGTGGCACCGCTTCCTACTGTGACAAGGTACCCATTATGTAAGAGGCAAACACTGCGACTATACAAGGGAACTACACAGCCGCCGAAGACAGTTCTCAAGTTATGAGTGAGTTGGAATATAGCCAGAGGAGAGTTACGAGTTAGCCAGCAACCAGTCAGTTGTATTCTGGCATTTGCGGTCTAGTAATTGTAATACTGCAGATAGCAGTAATTGAGCTTGTAAATTGTGTGATTGTAAGTGTGAATGTGAAATAAAATTTGCTATATCCAGCACGGTGTGAAGTTATTTGTCGCGTTATACACCCAAAACGTGACAATTTGGTGTCAGAATTGGTTTACAAACTTAAACACGCATTAAGTTACTGCTACAAAATGGAGAAAGAAGATATTGTAACGTGTTTCGTTACTGAATACGCCGTTCGGATTGTTAAGTGGTTTATTCAACAACCTACAAGTAACAGCTACAATTAATTATAACACAGTTGCGGGTTTCACACTTTACAAACCCTACAACCAAATCTCTTCACACTACCACTTCACTTTTATTTACGTCTACTCTGCAGTTTGTCCACAATATTGATGAAATGTTAAGATGGCGGTCATCGATGTAGTCGTTGATTGTGTCTCTCGATACTTGGATCAAGATACTGGTGAAAGTGAATTAAATTGTTGTGCAAATTGTAATAAATTGAATGACTATTTAAAAATGGTTACAATGGAGTTAAAATCAGCACAGCAAGTAATCAAGATTTTGAAAGAGGAAATAGTGTCAGTTGACGTTCATAACCCCAAAATTCAATATAGCGTATTGTCAAAGACGGGTCAGGACATCGAAGCATACCGTATGAAGTTGGGAATGAAAAATGTAAATATAAATAGTGATAATTCAAAAAGGGTGAAACATAAAATAAGAATACTAGGTGATAGCCATGCACGTGGACTGGCAACTGAGTTGAAGCATAGGTTAAATCAAGAATTTGAGATACAAGGGGTAATAAAACCTGGATCAATATTGGTAAAATTGACAAACAGTGTAAGCTCGGACTTGAAAGAATTAACAAAGAAAGACGCCTGTATAATTTGGGGAGGTACAAATGACGTTGGGAGAAATGAAACTATTATTGGTATTCGTTCACTACATGAGTTTATAAGTTGTCATCAACATACAAATGTAATTGTTTTAAAAGTTCCACATAGATATGACTTAGCATCTAATTCATGCATCAATGAAGAAGTAAAAACTTTTAATAGGAAGCTTGATAAATTAAAGAAGGCTCATCAAAATCTTTTTGAGGTCAGCATGGACATGGATAGGGATTTATTCACAAGACAGGGATTTCACCTAAATACTCATGGTAAAGAGCAGACAGCAAGTGACATCATCTCTGTTTTAAGTAATTTGTTCAAAGTAAAGAGAAAATCTCCTATTACTTTAATGTGGAAGGAAGAGGATCTGGATTGTAATAGTATCTCTAAGATTAATGAAAAAGGTGTTCACTGTATTAAATCGAGTGAATGTGATTATGCGAAATCAGCTCTGGTTTCTCAGGCAAGCGCAAGTGTAAAAAAGATGATTGCTCAAGATAGTGTGAGTGGAGTCACAGAGATTCAGAGAACCAATGATCAATGTATTAAATCAAGTGAGTGGAATTATGTTCAGTCAGCTCTTGACTCTCAAGTTAGTTCTTGTTCAAATATGAGTGTTCTCCAAGATGGTACATGGGATGAGTCAAAAATCCAACGAACTGATAAGGACTCAGTCAACCAAGAAATGACGGGCGCACCAGCAAAGAGAACTCGACGACACCCCCTTAAACGAAATAAAGATTTTTTATGGTAGATCATCCATTTAAGTCAACTTTCCATCCCCCTAAAGAAAGTTCAAATTTAACTCAGTATTTGAGTATTCTTCA